TTTATACTTAGCATGTCCTGTTGTTTGTGCTGGGTCACGGCAACCTGCCAATCCCTGTATTGTTCCCTTTGGTCACAGGAGAGCCGAGCCTTCCTGTACGACAATGCTTCTACTTGTGTGTGTGAAACATCTGTAACTCAGAATTAATGGAAGATTTAGTTGTAAGTTGAGTTGAAGATGGCCATTAGCTGCTAGAGTGCTGCATATTTAGTTTTATTTTGTCGTAATCTGTAAAATCGATGGAGACCCATCACACAGTTTAACATATTTTATTTTTATGGCTTTGAAAACTTCAACCCCAAGGCAGGTGTAGATTAGAGTTATTTGAAAGTAAATGAACAACAGTTTGATCAAAAATAAATCAATAACAAATCTTAGGTCCAGGTTCACTTTAATATTTTCTGAAGCTGTCAACTTTGCGTCACTATGCAGTTTGCAATAATGTGGCAAAATAACATCATTTTGTTATAGTTTGCCAAAAAAAACCCTTAAATTTCCCTTAAGCTTTCAACCACATTTCATGAGCTTCTTCAGTGTAGGGAGTTAGCTTCCACAATGTGATAAAAGGTGGTATTATAATTCATTTTTAACACTTTATTTCAGTTCAGAGGTTTTTCTCTTTGTCATCTGATGTGAATGGCATCTGTGATCAAACTCCATACACCGAGAAATACATGACCACGAGATGTTGAAAACCCAAGAAAAAGATCAATCTTGTTTTCTGCTCTGCAAACCCCATCCCACAGAAGAAAAATAAAACTCCTACAGATCTCATAAATATTTTTATTTGAATCAGTGTTAATGTAGACACTGTAGTAGATGCTATGAACTCAACGCCATATTCAGTACATTTAACATTAAAAAAGAAATCGCTCAGTTGCAGGCAGTGGAAAGTAAAACTGAATAAAAATGGCCCTTTCTTTGTCAGCTAATGTTTTCCATAGCAACAGGTACAAACCATATGCTGGAAAGTCAGAGACTTTGCAGCAACAGTTTTTGTTTACATGGTGTATTTGAATCAGATTTGGTTTGTAATGTAACTAAGCTTGTGACTAATCTGAAACAACAGAACAAGGGTGGGGAAGTGGACAGACAAACTACACTGAAACTAAACCTTATCGAGTACATTGGAGATAGGCAATAAGTTTATTGTACGTGCATGATTAGACCCAGTAAGAACAGCCTCTCATGTTGCATGTGTGAAACCTGAATTCATACAACCATACTGATCATCCACTCATCACACTTCACATTAAATGTTCTTTTCCTGTAATGTTTGTGTTGAGCTGTGTAGTTGTATGTCACTGTCAGCGATATTAATGACTGGAGGGGTAAAAAAGTTATCTGACTGGGATTTGATTATCTTAACTTGGTGGCTTGGAGTAACTTCTGTCCATATGAGATTCTGACTCTTCATGTTGTTGTTGTTGTTGTTGTACAGTTCTGCTTTATTTAATAATTTGTCATTATATATTTTACCGAAAAGGTCCAATAATTGATTAAGGTACAAATAATGTATTGTTCAGTAAGACAGTGTTTCCGTCCTATGTAAGACTGTTCAGTTAGTTTTAAGTATGAAAAGCCTCTGACAGTTTTCAACCTGAAAGACAACTGTGCCCTCAGCTGTTGGTTGTCAGATGATGCAGTTTATGAGACTTTTTATTTCTTCAGTAGTTTGTTTCCACACATACAATACAGTATAGTTTTGTCTAACTGTGACAAAGGCTGGATTACCAACCTGAATAAGGGGGCCCAGGCCCCAGATCCTGGTCTCCATCCTCCATCTTGTGGCTTGCTGTAGCAAAATTTAGTTTTAAGACTTTCATTGTTTTAGTTTAAATTGTTCTTATTTATTGTAAAGTTGTGTTTTTTTAAATATTGTTTTAATATTTATGTCAAGTTATCAATTTCGTAGTGATATTCCATCACAGTAGAACTTTAAGGCTGCAACAGACCTTTATTTTCATTATTCGTACACCTGCCGTTGTCTTTAATAATCAGATGATTGTTTAGTGTATAAAATGTTAGTAAGTAGAAAAATGCCCCAACATTCCCTGTTGCCCAAGTTAACATACTCAAGTTGCTTTTGTTGTTCAACCAACAGCAAAAAACCGAAAGATTTTGAGTTTGCTTTCATGAAAAACTGGGACAGATACCAGTGAATCTTTGTGATTTTTGCTTTTAAAAAAAGGATTTAAACTATAAACCAGTTATCAAGATTGCTGACAGCTTATTTTCTGTCAGTTGATTAATCAACTAAAATTAACAGGCTCTAAAACACACAGGACTTTTATGAGCACTGCTGACTTTTATCATTAGATATTCAGACTTTTGACTTTGTGGTGCAAAAAAAGAAAACCTGATTTATAACAGCAGACAAGTCTGAGTTCTGTGGATTATTCTGACATTGCTTCTGGGAAAACTATATAATGTAAGGATGAATAAAAATTGGTATGGTGAGGCTTCCTCTTTTGCTGTTTAATTGTGGTTGGCAAACAGCTTTTTGATGCATTACTGCCACCTTCTGGACTGGAGTGTGGATCAAAACCACTACTATGCATTACTTTGGTAATGCAAAAATTATATTAATTACTGTCATGCAGCTCTGTACTTAACACAGATCGTTTATCTATCTATTTATCATAGATTATCTTGCTAGGTCTGGTATTTTCTATCTTGTTCTACAACCCAAAATCAGATTTGGGATGGTAGGTGAAATCAAAATTAAAACTGAAAATATTGTCCTGTCTTGATTTGGACTGAATATAACAAATACTTGTTAATGAGCTGCTGGAGTGTGACCCTATTAGTATTTTAATGGTTTGACTTCTACCCAGTTTAGAACCATGAGAATGGCTGACAGTTCCAATATGCCTACTGACAAATCACCATTGTTCTGCATCTTTGACATTAAGCTACATATACAGCATGTCTGGAATAATAAATGCCGTCCCAACTTTACTAGACACTGTTTTAGCATACAAGCCACAAAACGTGCGGGTCGGCAGCAACATCTCCAAGACATCACACTGAGCACAGGGGATCCACAGGGGTGTGTGCTCAGCCCATTGCTCTTCACACTGCTGACCCACGACTGCGTGCCAACCTATAGCACCAACCAAATTGTCAAGTTTGCGGATGACATGACTGTAGCTGGCCTCATTACCAACAACGATGAGGCCAACTACGGTAGTGAGGTGTGCCAACTTGTCCAGTGGTGTAAGGACAACAACCTCTCCCTCAATGTGGAGAAGACTAAAGAGATTGTTGTGGACTTCAGGAGAAAACCTCTAAAGCATCCACCATTGACCATCGATGGTGCTGTAGTGGAGAGAGTGAGCAGCACCAAGTTCCTGGGGTGCACATCTCTGAGGACCTCTCCTGGACCAACACCACCACATCACTGGCTAAGAAGAATATTTTATCATCTAACCCTGTCTTTCTGTTGTTCAACCAAAAGTATTCATCTGCTCTTTTGTTTTAATAGTATCCCAGTAGGATTATTCTCATTTTGTCTACTAGGCTTCTTGTCACCTTGGCGCCATTTGACCAATCTGATGCCGGAGTCCTGCCCCTCTGTCGCCACCACCCAGAGGCCCCTGATCTGCCTACTCACTGGAGGACTCCGCTGTTTGTCAATGAGTGCTGCAATACGTAATCAACTAATTCAAGACAGGCGAGTCAAAGCATCAGAGTTTGTGAGGAAATGACCGGAACAGAGAGGATCCAGCCTTCAAAATAAAAGCAAATACTGGGACATTTGAAACGGGCTAAAATGTAGCCTGTAAACAGAGAAGAAATCATGTTCATTAAACCTTCCAGTTTAAAGGACCGTGCATGTTTTAGCTCCACTCTGCATTATTGTTAACTGTTTTCAGGTCATGATAGCCTATAATATATAATATGTATGTTTTTTTTTCCTACTTCCAGGCAACAATTGATCAAATATAAATTATAGAAAAAAAATTTAATCCATGACTACTTCTTGTCCTTAAACCGTCTCATGTTGATTGACAGGTGGTTACAGCTAAAAAAATTTCGCATATATGCAACATCATCAGCAATATTTGGATAGATAATTGAATGGGCCTGCCCGGCATACGCGGAGGGACCCGAGAGGTTAAGGGGCTCTTGGACCAAAGTTTACTTTTCATATTGGAAGGTCTTCAACAACTATTCTACAAAGAGATGAGAGACAAAACCACAATATAGAAATGCAACTACCAATATGACCACAAAGACAAAGCAAGTGAAACGGGATGCAAGATGGCCAGAAGAATAAAATGAGTAAAAACACATACAAAACAACTGAACAAAGACAAAATGATGCAAAATGACTACAAAGATGTAAAAATTTATACAAAAGGACCACAAGGAGAACCAACTAAAAACATTATTAAAAAGAGGTGCAAAACACCTACTGTACAAAGAGACACAAAGCCATATGATTAGAAACAAAATGACTATAGGGATGCAAACTGACCTGTGTGTGTGGGTCTTTGTCTTACAGTCAGTCTGTCCATAGTGAAGTATACACAATGATAGGTAGGTTATAGATAAAAACAGTGGTATTTTCCTTGTTATACAGATACTTCACACATTTTTGCTAATGTATGCTATACTTTATATTTTAAAATATAGCTAGTGAGAACTATTAACATTTATCATCGTTATAGGCCTGTAAGCCCTCGATTTGAAACAAAGACAATGAGAGAAGGTGTTACCAATTTAAAATATTTTTGTAAAAATAAAAGATTAAAAACTTTGAAAAAGTTCACATTTCAAAGAGACCGAGCAAAAATGTCTAACTGTTGTTAAATATCGTATCCTGCGAATAGAAAGTTTTGAAACTAATGGAGAAAAATGCGCTGAATTGGGAAATATTTTAATGGTCTATTTAAAAAAGGAAAAGAAAAAGCTCAACGTGGCAGTTTATTTTGAAATCCAAATCCCAAACCGGAAACACCTTTTAAATCCCTAGGTTTTTGACAGTGGTGATTTTATTAGAGGGTAACTTTTTTCTCTCTCTCTCTCCCAAACTTTTCTTGCCTTCTCCGAAAGTCATGACAAGTCTTATTGTGACTGGACGTAGAGAAGCCAGAAGGTAAGAAGACGCGATACTAATACGTATTGATTAGCTGATTATTACCTGACTGATCGACTCTGTGAACAAACCACAAAACATTTTAGTCTCCGTGTGATCTAGTTATGGTGAATTATCGATCACAGCTGATGTTACTGTACATGCAGCGCCTGAAATCATTGTTGGCTGAAGTAAAACTGTTTTTGACGCACAAAAGTTAAATGCGCGTCTTACAGGCTGTTTCCAGGCGTTATACAGTGGTGGGTTTGTGATTTTATTGTTCTGTATATTTTTTGCCCATATTTGTTCCACTGACTCTTTCATATTTCAATCGAGACTTGTAGCCTAGTTTGTATTTTTAAAGTTTTTACAGATGTGTTTAGGCTTCACTAGATCTGAAAGTGACTGACTTCTCTACCTGCTGGTTCCGGATGCGTTTTAGGGATTTTCTCATTCATATTTGGATAGCCTAATAAAAATGTATCTCTGTAAATAATAACTTTTAACTAGAACCGATTTGTTGTAGTAGGCAACTGGCGCTTTTGGGGATGAAGTCTTTCTCAGGAGATAATGTTTATGTTGGGGTTTTGTTGCTCTTCACCTCTTAAAAAACTCCATTAGACCCAATTAGTTCACATTGTAAAGCTGTATCTAAAAAGTGATTTACCTTTTAATTTTATGGATTTGATACCTTTTTAACACTTAATTCAGCGTGTTTTTTTTATTTTATCTCTCTCCCCGTTTTTCCTTTAAATCATGTTCTGTTCTGTTTTGCTTCATAAACAGACTTTGCTTTCTTGTAAATCTGGAGTCGATATAAAGGAAATCTCTTTCCAAATACTGTTGTGGGTGAGGCTGCTCCATAGGACGGAAATCCCCCCCAACCTCTTCTATTGTCAGAAGTGTTGAGCTAAGCCCCCCCACTCCACCCCCTCTGGCTGGTCTGTGCACCATCCTGCCTGCCTCAGTTTTCCAGACTTTATAATTTGTTGGTGTTCAGTTGTTGAATCAGTCACAGCGAGTCCGGTCTCAGCAGATGTGTCACAGCTGCTACTCATGTTCAGTGACTACAACCTGCAGGTTGCAGGAAATGTCACTTGCAGATATTTCCAGAAACTGCAGTGAAGTTTGGAAAATGTAAACAATACTAGGCTTTGGTACAAGTCCTTAAATAAAGCACTTAATAAAAAGAAAATGTGTTTAGAAGAGGTGGAAACGTGATTAGAAGTAGTTTACTCCCCATCCCGAGGGGCTGTGAGATGGGATTTTGGGAAAGCAGAGACTTCTTGAATGCATTTAAAGACAGACTGACGAGTTTTGAGGATCTGATGGTGGCTTGTTGGTTGTGTTGGTGGAACGGAGGCTTAAAAAAAAACAAACTGGTTTATAACCTGTAATACCACCTGCTATGAGCACTGCAGCACAACACTCCACACTATTAAATTGAATGTGTTTGCACCAGAACAATTTCCTTAGGAATAACTTATTTATTGGATAATTCAAAGTCATTAGGATTTTAGTTTCCTAACCATAACCGTACTTTAACCACAGTTTATTTCCTATAGCATGGCTAGATTGAAACATTAACCATGCATAGATCCTGTTGAATGTTTAAAATAAAACGTCACGTAAACGGACTCAGAAGTTTTGAATCATCTTCACAACCATGCATAGATCCTGTTGAATGTTTTAAATAAAACGTCACGTAAACAGACTCAGGAGTTTTGAATCATCTTCAGTATCAGCCTTCTTTGTTGATGATGTGCATTTGTACAGGTAGACTGGAAGTTTTGATTTTGGCCTGTTCTGTTGGGCCATAGCATATAATTTACACCATTGTCATGGTCATCAAACCATCATCAAACCATTCAGTGATCCCTCGATCCCTGTGGATGGGTGCACTCTCATCCTGGAAGAGGCCATTCATTCACACAGTTTGTTTTTTTCCCCTGCTTTGTCACCTGTCGAGCACTTTCTGACTCTGGCTGTACAGTATCTTTGCACTCGTGCTGCAGAATGATTCTGGGACCAATCAGATTCCTCCGTGATGGCGTTGTGTGGTGGATAAAAATTCAAACACCGAAAGTACTGTAGCTCTGCGGGGTGTATTGGACTGTGATCACTGGCATGCTGTTGGACGCTTTCCAGTGGAGCCGTTGTGATGGGGGATTGCCACCCCCAAATCTGAGGACCGCGGTCAGAAAATTGTGGTTTGGGTGCTTCTGTTGGGAATGCGTTTCTGCCTTGTGGTGAAGTTTAAACATTCTGGGTTCTCGTTTGTGTGTGAGATTGACTGCTGGATTGTGGCAGCACCAGATAAAAGACCAAAGAGAAACAGTAAATACTGATGTGGAATGCCAAGAAGCATTATCTTGGTCCTTTTATTGTAGAATGGGAAAGAAATTAAAGCCAAATATTACATATGCAATTTTAAATTGCTGCAGTCATAACTGCATTTTTTTGTTTCCTAATGTAGTCTTTGAAAATTCCAAAATTTCAAATATTTTTCTGAGTTGATGAACACAGGTCGGTCTGCTGTACGAATCATCCATTAAATTTGTGTTAAGCTTCTAACAACTTGATGGCCCTCCCTCAGCTAGGGAAGCTGTCTTCCTGCAACAGGACCCTGGTGTTTCACTTACTGCCGTCACCTCCGAAATAGATTCTCTGTAAGTTTAGATAGAGGTGTCACAGGGCAGTGTAACATGCTGATACTCTGTGCACATACTGAAAGGAACATTAGTCACATGTTTCCTCTGTGATTAATGTAACTTTGCCTTGTTTACACTTTGGAACACATTAAATACAGTTTATTAAATGTAGACTGAATTAAATTTAGGTCTGTCCTCATGCTTATAAGTTCTGCGGTGTGATAAAATACATGCCGTCATATTTTTAGCTGTATTATGAGTGGCTTTAATTTTAGCACTTCAAGTCTGCGAGTTACTTGGGGCACTGCAGTGACATGATGCAGTGAGCAAAGAGAAAGTTGATTGCATCGCTATTAGGACAAGAGTCTGCCACATTTATATATATATAAAAAAAGGCAAATGCTCACAAATAATCACCAGTCATCCTGTATAAGAACACATCATAAGGTCACATCCTTCTTGGGGTGCCAAAGATTTAGCAGGATTAATTTTGTGCACATCTAATTCATTATTGATTGCATCTTCTCAAGATGGACCAAAGCTTCCCAGAGAGGGCTGTGCTATGAGGAAACATAAGCTGCAGTGTGTGTGTGTGTGTGTGTGTGTGTGTGTGTGTGTGTGTGTGTGTGTGTGTGTGTTGAGTCTGGAAGTTTTAAAATGTGGGGCTAAATTAGAGTTAAAGAGAAGTGACCAGGCCTCTGTAGTCTGCTCCTCATGTCTGCCAATTATGAGCAGCCAACAGTTCATCCCAGTGTCCGACTTGTAAGTCAGTTTGTTTTTCTGATCAATGCCATCTCCCACCTGGCGACTGTGAACACCATCCAGACTGTTGGCAGGATGGTTGTAGATGCACCACCACTGGCACTTTATTTAAAAATAAAATACACTTAACAATAATTCATTGATTCAATGTTATAGGAGCTATACATTGTCTGGGTTCACTTGATAACAAACAGCTACCAACACTGCATGAATACAACAAAATGCACCTGTATCTCTGACTGAAGCTTCAGAAGTCAAGTTGAGTTTTAATGTATTCAGCAGGTTTTGACAAAGAAGCAGAATCTGTGCGGTTAAAAAGATGCCATCTCTACTTCTGCTGCATCAGTTTAGGTTACAGTGACTTGGAGTGTAGCGCAAAAACATTTTAGTACAGTTTTAACACTCCCAGTTAAAGGTAGAAATGTTTATTAGTATATGAAGAAATCATGAGGCCAAACAGTATTTTATTTGTTACCATGCTGATACCCACTAACTGTAATCACAATAATTACAGACCACTTTTTCAAAGGTTTAAACATGTTCACTCTCTGCTCTATGAAAGTCATCGTGGTGTGTTTACCTTTAAAGTTCAAGCTTTTTTTTCCTGAGGTAACAATTAGTTTAAAGTGTTAGGCCTGTGTGCAACCTGAGAAGAGGAGGTTTCCTTTGTAATTAGCTGCCACCCAGGCTTTGAAAATGGAAACTTCTTCAAGGCAGATGCTCCGATTTGAGTTGTTTCCCAAACTGCTCCTCTTGAGAAGTTCAGCTCAGTGTGTTTGAGCTGTGGGTGTGCACGCATTGGTCCAGTTTTTACAAGGTAGAAAAAACACTTTCTTTATTTGAATTTTGTTTATTTATAGTTTGTTTCTGTAATGGAGTCCACGCAAAGTTATTTTAGAACAATGGCTTCCAGCTGGAGAGGAAGTACAGAAACTTTACAATACAAGACAACTGGTCACTGCAGAATGTAATAAATAGGAATTACACATAGTCAAACAGAGGCAGATGTGACTGGTAACATGGTTGTGTGGTCTTACTGTCTTTTCTTTCTAATGTTTGTGACAAGCTTTGCCTCAGGAGTCATGGGATCTTGATTTATTTACCTCACGTTGGAGTCTGTTCAATATTGGACACATTTGTCCCAAGATTGACTTTGAGTTCTATTGTAACTGTATGTAGATATCAGAGAGTTTTTAATTCCCTCAAGATGACTTGTCACGATTCATTGTTTTGCAGCCTGACTTAATCTTGATGAATTGTGTCCATGTCCGCTTGTTGTCACAGTCAACTCACCACAATACAGTTGCGTCCAGCTATTACACATGGACAGATTGTTGAGCAAAAAGCAGCAGTCACATTGGATGTCAACAGAACTAAATTATTGTGAGAACTAAAAAAATGTGGTTGTGATCATGAGGAAAGTGGGTCAGCCTGTGACTTTATTAGAAAATGAAGATGATCATATTATAACACAGATCCGGAGATGATGAATGACAAAGTTAAGTAGTGAAGTCCAGATTATTGACTATTTTTGTGTTTCTCAGTTTCATTTACCAACTGTTTGAATGCATCTACAGTCAGATTTTGCTTCAGGGCCACATTTTTAAG